TTACAAACAACAAAAAAGTGCTCACAGTATGTAAATTACTATAATTTTAAGACAACAGAAGAAAAATTTCTCAACACGTACGGTCTGAAGATTTCAATTGGGGGATAATTGGCAGTTAGAGAAGCAACAGAGAATGCTGAGCTCATACTCTGCCTGGGACACCCACGCAGTTTAGAGTAGGCAGAAGTACCCTGGAGGAATGCTTTCCTGGGAAAAGATACCTGGGGTCCTGTAAGGAAGGGTTCAGCTGTTCTCATTCTCAAATTACCACCAGGCCCTGCCCTGTGTCCTAACCCAGCAGTGAGAAATGAATACAACATAGATGAACTTACTTTAAATCAAACAAACACACAACAACAACAATAATGAAACAGTGAAGCCAATACTGGTAGTCCATGCCTGTAATCCTAGCTACTTAGGAAGTTGAGATCTTAGGATGGCAGTTCAAAGCAAAAGTCCATGAGATTTCTATCTCCATCAACCAACAAAAAGCTCGAAGTGGAGCTGTGGCTCAAGTGGTAGAGTGCCAGCCCTGAGCAACAAAGCTAAGGGCAAGTACATAGGCCTTGAGTTCAAGCCCTACCACAAATAAGTAAGTAAATAAACAGATTCTTCACTAATTGACTGAGAAAAGATCAAGATAAATGGATGACAAAGTTGGGTCAAAGATACTGTGCACACTTTAAATTCATCAAGTTTCAGCAGCCTTAGTTATGTAATCCTGATTATTCAAATAAGGGCTAAGCCCAGAAAACACATGAAAGGAATTAATTAATAGCTATGCCCTAATTACTAATAGACATTAACAGTATGTACTTCCAAAATGCATTATACTTTCTTTGATAACTATTTCCTCTGTATATTTATATGAATAATCTGAAATTTTCAATGAGGGCAAAGGGTACTCAAAATCAACTGCACCTCTATATTAACCAATTGCTAACTAGAAACTAAAACGTGTAAATATCATGTAGAAATGGCAAAATATTTTATATGGTATTAGAATTCTAAATGGTAAAAATAAAATACCACTTTGAAATGGCCCCAAATATAAAATTTTTAGGTGTAAGTCTAGTCAACATGGGTGGGATTTGTATGTTGAAAATAATAAAGCACTGATAGAAATAAAAGAAAACCTAGAAAAACAAACATATAGAGAGTGAGTAAGAGAGATAATATTAAAGTCTCAAACTGACTTACAGATTTAACAAAATTTCAGTCAAATTTTAGTATGATTATTTTGTAGATAAGCTGATTTTGTAATTTATATGAAAGGTAAGCAAATAAGAACAGTCCATTTTGATTTTTTTAAATCAATTTTGGGAAAAAAATCACACTATAGTTTTGTTTTGTTGTTCTGGTCCTAGGGAATGAACTCTGGGCCTGGGTATTATCCTTGAGCTTTTGTGCCCAAAGCTAGCCCTCTACCACTTAAGCCACAGCTCCACTTCCAAATTTTGGGTGGTTTATTGGAGATAAGAGGCTCACAGACTTTCCTGCCCAGGCTGGCTTCAAACTAAAATACTAAGATCTCAGCTTCCTGAGTTGCTAGGATTACATGCATGAGCACAGCTGTAATCTCAGTACTCTAGAGGCTGAGGCAAGAGGAGGAATATCAGTTTAATGCCAGCCTGGGCTACACAATGAAAAACCTGTCTTATAAACAAAACATGTCTGCACCAGGGGGTTATGCTTATAATAGTAACTATTCAGCATGTTGTGCTCCAATGGGACTTGGTTCTATGCAGCCTAGGTAGAAACTTTACTAGACTCTATCTTTGAAATAACCATCAAAAAAGAGTTAGAAGGGTATCTCAAATGGTAAAGCTCCAGCTAAGCAAGCAAGCCCTGTGATCACAAAGTCCTGAGTTCAAACTCCAAACCTTAAAGAAGACAACTTACTGCAGAGTTACAATATTTAAAACAATATAGTATTTGTAATAAATAATCAAGAAATGGATCTGGGCACTTGTAGCTCCCACCTGTAATCCCAGCTACTAAAGAGTCTGAGATCTGAGGATTGTAGTTCAAGGCCAGCCTTGGCAGTAAAGTGTAATTGTCTCAAATTAATCATTTAAAAGCTGGAACCAGGCCGAGTGCCAGTGGCTCACATCTGTAATCCTAAACTACTCAGAAGGCTGAGATTTGAGGATCGTGGCTCACAGCCATCCCCAGCAGGAAAGTCTGTAAGACACTTATCTCAATAAACTACTCAGAAAAAAACAGAAGTGGTTCGGTGGCTCAAGTGATAGAGTGCTAGCCTTGAGCACAAAGAGGCTCAGGGATAGTACCCAGGCCCTGAATTCAAGCCCCAAGACCTGAAAAGAAAATTGCTAGCCCCGAGTAAAAATGCTTTGAGACAGCACTCAGGCCCCTGAGTTTTGTACCCAGGATGGACACCCACAGAAAGAAGAAATAAAGGAAGGAAGGGAGGGAAGGAGGGAGGAAAGGCAGGCAGGCAGGCAGGCAGGCAGGCAGGCAGGCAGGCAGGCAGGCAGGCAGGCAGGCAGGCAAGCCAGCCATATAATCAACTGACAACTGATTTTTACAAAGGTGTGAAGGTCATTAAGCAGATAAAGGATAGTTTTTTCAGTGAATGGTTTGCAAATGACTGAACACTCTATGCCAAAGAAACAAGAAAAAGAAAACTCTGAACCAAAAGTCAATCCATATACCAAAATTAACTCACAATGGAACATTTATATAAATGCGAAAATACAAATCTAAGACCTTACTAATAAAAGAAAATCTTAATGTCTGGCATTAGACTAGAGTTGTGAGACATGGCACCTACCACATGTCTAATTCATTAGGCACAAAAAGAACTGAAGATTTAAAACTTTGGACTCTCCGCAAGATACTACAAAACAATGAAAACACAAGCTACTGGGAATAAACAAAAGGGAAAATCTATGACTTAGGAGTTATAGTCACATTAGATAAAATCATAAGGCAGAATATAAGAAAACAAGCAGTTAAAGAGGCCAAAGACTTTAATAGAAATCTTACCAAGAAAGATACATGAATGGCAAATAAGTGAAAGGCACATCATTAGCTACTAGGTCATGCAAAAGTAAATGCACTAACCCTAGAGAAATGGAAAAACAAAGTTCCCACAAACACCTGCACCAGTGTTCACTTAACCTCTGCAAAATTTGTACGACACAGATGTCCTTTCAGAGGTCTGACCCACTGCATGGATGATACTGACCATCTAGCTTCTTCTATCTTCTGTCACCTCCTGAAGTCACAGTGTTGGTTTTTTTTTGTTGTTGTTGTTTTTGTCAGTTGTGGGGCTTGAACTCAGGACCTGAGCACTGTCTCTGAGCCTTTTTTGCTCAAGGTTAGCACTCTACCATTTTGAGCCACAGTACCACTTCTGGTTTTCTGATGGTTAACTGGAGAGTGTCAAGAACTTTTCTGCCCAGGCTGGCTTTGAACCGGTATCCTCAGCTCTTGGCCTCTTGAGAATCTAAGAGCCACCTGTGGCTGGTGTTGAAGTCATAGGATTTTACTGCAGCCTTCAACACGGTCCATGTCCCTGGGACCTCAGGTCCACTGCTTCTTCCTGCTGTCTTCCTGGTCCCATCCTGCCTAGCGTACTAGGACATTGCTGGGAGTTGGTGTCCTGGGAGCCCTTTTCTGCCTTGCTGCACACATCTGCCCCAGGGAACTTGCTCACTCTTGAGACTGCAAATAGCAATTAGCACTATGTTACATCAGCAGAAGTGCTGCTTGGGTGTCACAGGCTGCATTATTGGCTTTGCTGCTGGGCTTCTTATTAGTAGGTGCCCTGTGCCCATAGTACCATGGCCTCATGCCTGCTACTACCCCCATTGTCTGACACCCTTCACATGCTCTCACACACAGTGGGAGTGGTCACAAAGCCTGGGATTTCTATGCAAACACCTCCAGCAAACAAGAAAATAGATGGAGACAGCAGTGACCAGAATAAACAACTACAAATATTTACCTTTAAGTGCCAGGAACTGGAATGTACAAGTCCCACTTTCAATAACAGCACCAGGGAATTATTTTATCTCTTTTGCTTTTCAGAAATACAAAGGCAAAACTAATGTTCAATCTCAAAACAGCACTTGGCTTTTGCCATTATTATCTCTCTTCCCCATTTTCTGTTTCTGTTTTTATTAACCTTCTTGCATACAGGGCCTACACATAGGCTTTAGGTAAATAGATGGGGTATAGAAACAGAAGACACCCCTTAAGAAAGTATTGGGATGGGAATGTTCAATCAGCAACAACCTCAGGATGGGTAGATTCCCATCTGAGTTGGGAGAGACAATGATATTGTTAAAAGCTTACTCAGGCTTCTACTGCAACAAACACAAAGGCATCACAACCCAAAGGGCAAGTCACAATGCTGGCTGTATACAATCATGGGTTGTTAGCTACCCCTTAAGTGCCACCAGCCCATCTGATCTCTTTTACTTTAAAATCTTGTTCATCTCTGGAAAACTTGGGTTCAGAAGGGATGGGCAGACTAGAAGGCCCTACCAGCTAGCCAGGTGGATCTTCCCGGGCAGAGACCATGTGAAATCCCCAAAGTCACAGCCCAAGTAGTCACTGGAGAAAACATTGTCCATGCCATTAAATAACTAGTTCTGTCCACCCTTTAAATCTTGTCTCAATCCAAAAGTTAAACCACACCTTCAAAATAAACACAGATACAAAGACAAAGGGCAATGAAGGCCTTGTGTTGTCAAGCTCAAATTTAAGATCGCCACCTCCCATCTGGAACACTTCCAGGGCATGCTATTACCCTGGACTACCTCCCTGGTGCCATTCCTCAGAATGCAACCTTCTCACCTGTTTGTATGCTTCAGGAAGGTTGAGTTACTAAATAATAACATTAACTACAACATAGTGAATGATTAGCCTGCAGATGTCTAGTTTATAAACTGGTGTGTCTGGTAAATGAGCCCAGTGGTTTTTTTGAAACAGTAAACATATATTGACCCAGTCCATTCCTAAGTACTTACCCAAAGAAAAGGTATGTATGCTACATGGCTGTACATGAATGCCCACACTATCTGGAAGCCAACCAAATATCTATGTATGGGAAAATAGACAAGCTGTGGTAAATGGAATACTACCCACCAATAAAGAGGAATGAACCCCAGAGTGTGCATGTATGTGCCCCCACACACATACACACATACATGCACACACATATTCACACAAATACACATGCATGCACATATAAGCACATATACACATTCACACCTGCACATACACATGAATATGCATGTACACATATATACACCAGTGTTACACGTACATATAAACACATGTACATGCATGTAAATACATGTACACAAACATGTACATGCACACACTCATATATATAGACTGTGGGGCAGGGAAAGAAAGTGGTGGACTGCCCAAGAACATGTGAGAAATTTTGATGGCATGTAAAAACCTTCTGTATATTGATCATGACAATAATTTCAAGAGTTTGAACATACACCAAATTTGCGATTCATTAAATGGTATGCTTTAAACAGTTGAAAGTTTATTATACATAAATATACCTCACTTAAGCAGTGTTAAAAATCCAGTATACTTCTTTTTCAACCACATAGAAATAAACTGTTTAAGAAGAACAGCAAGTCAAACTGCAAAGCTAGTTTATTCCTTCTTGGTTTGGAGCAGTGGCACACACTCTGTGCTCCCAATGGGTGAGTAAGCTCCAGTCTGCAGTAATCCACCTGCTTTTCATGCTTCCAGAACCACTTTAGGCCAAGTGTGAGGGTTCACATTCATGATTCCAATTCTCAGGAGGCAGAAGGCAAGAAGATCGAGAGCTTGAGGCTAGCCTGAACTACGTAACAAGACCTTGTCTAAAAAACAAAACAAACAAAAAAACCCACATGTAATCCTAGCTACTCAGGAGGCTGAGATCTGAGGATCCCAGTTTGAAGCCAACCTGGGCAGAAAAGTCCCTGTGAGACTGAGACTCTTATTTTCAATTAACCACTCAAAAACCAGAAGTGGCACTGTGATGCAAAGTAGTAGAGTGCTAGCTTTGAGCAAAAGAGCTCAAGGACAGTTTCCAGGTCCTGAGTTCAAGCCCCAGAACTGACAAATGGATTTTTTTCTTGTATTTGTCCTTATTATCTTCTAGCTTCTAACTATGCTAAACACCATTGGTGTCCCAGAATACATGTCTGAAATTCCCTATAGATATAGCATGATCCTTGAATACAGGGTATCTGCTCAATTGTGCAGAATTAAAACTTTACCCACATTACTTTTTCAATAGAAGTTAATGAAAATGTTTATGTAAAAAAATACTGTCCAATAAAATGAAGCCAAAAAGTAATCCTATGAGTTCCAAGACCCTCATTCAGTCAGTGACAATGGGGCTGCCTTTTGGGTTTGCTGTTGCTAAGATAGGATGTTTCTGCAGGGTCAGGATGTACACAAGAACATAAACATGATCTGCAGGGGACAGAGAGGAGCAGGACACACTCAGGGCCATGAGTTCACATGTTATTTTTTTTTTTTTTTGGTCCATTGTAGGGCTTGAACTCTGGGCCTGGACACTGTCCCTCAGCTCTTCAGCTTAAAGGCTTAGCACTCTACCACTTAAGCCACAGAGTCACTTCTGGTTTTCTGGTCATTTATTGGAGATAAGAGTCTCTCGGAATTTCCTGCCTAAGCTGGCTTTGAACCGTGATCCTCAGATCCCAGCCTCCTGAGTAGCAGGATTACAGGAGTCACTGGCACCTGGCTTTACATGCTCTTTAACTGCTGTGTGTCTCTTGAGTTCTGTAGACATTAGAGATGCTGTGTGTGTGTGTGTGTGTGTGTGTGTGTGTGTGTGTGTGTGTGTGTGTATTGTGAGAACTATCACTGAGATCCCTCACCTGTGCCACACCTGATGCTTCTACTTCCAGGTCAACCTTCTTAAAACCATGTAGAGCCTGACAGCCTCACAGATATGTACATTCCTCCATTTTTTCCTTTGCTTTTTCAGCATTAAAACAAAGTTGGATAAAGCTTATCTGTCCATTTACATGAGATAATCTTGGTGGGATATTTACAGCTTCTCCAGTCTGGCTGGGTCCATCAGCCTGTAAAAAATGTCACACTTAAGAACTGCTTCAGCAAAATCATTTTCTGAGAACAACTTTCATAAAAAAAAAATCAAGCAGGCATATCAGCCCCACCCAGCAAATCATACTAATTGCTGCTTCTTCTCTGGGTGTTCCTGAAGCAGTTTAGCAGTTTGTACATATTTCTATGACAGTACCTGTCATAATTACTTATTGAACCATCTGTCCCTGCTTCTACACTATGGGCTCTCTCTCTCTCTCTCTCTCCATATATATGTATACACACATAAACACACATACATATATATATCACATAGTTAATTAGTGCTTATATATATATCCACATATATATGTATATAAATGAGTCAAAATGGGTTAGTCTACACATGAAATTCCATCCAGCCACTGTGAAGGTAGAGGTAGGATGTCCTCAAGTTCAAGGTCAGCCTAGGCAAAAGCAGTCTTAAAACAATTAATACTCTGTCTCAAAATTAACAAAAGGATTAAGGGTAGGTTCAAGTGGTAAGAGCACCTGCCTAGCATACATGATACCCTGAGCTTAATCCCCAGTACTACCTAAACACACACACACACACACACACATACACACACACACACACACACACACAGACCACACTATGAGCCAATTAAATAAATTTTACAATGGTAGTATATCAGTTAAACTGAATTCTCTCATTTTTAAAGTCCTACAATATATAGAGAAATGTGGCAGAAACCTAACACAGAGACAATTATACCTATTTAATTTTAATTTAGCGTTTGTCCCAAGATGGGAGATGACTGGTTGAATGAGGAGAATGAAAAAAAAAATTAAAATGTGGCTTTACATTCTTTGTCTTTTTTTCAGTTTTACTTTTTTTTCAGTTTTGCTATTTGCCAAATCATCATTATTTTCTTTTTACACAAGTGTTAAGTATCTCATGTGTTTTTTTGATCAACAATGAAAAAGGGAAACTTTTTTCTAGCCCAGTAACGTAACTGCAAAACAGCCAAATGAATGACTCACAGAGTATTTTACAGAAGGGCTTTTGTCTCAAGGTGAAAGCTCACAAAGCCTTTCTGACCACCTGCAACCCACTCCAGGGAGGGAAGTGGCTCAATACAGTGACAAGGGCTCCACTGCCTTTCCTTAAGCAACCTGGATGAAACATAAAGCACATTAAACAATGACATTTCACCGAGTGCCTGTAATCCTATTCAGGATGTCAAGATCTGAGGACTGCAGTTCAAAGCCAGCCCAGGCAGGAAAGTCCAAGAGACTGTGATCTCTAACTACTAAAAAATCCAGAAATGGAGTTGTGGCTCAAAGTTGGCTTGAGGACAAAAGCTCGGAGACAGCAACCTGGCCCTGAGTTCAAGCCCCAGGACAGGCACAAAAATAATCAAATAAAAGTAAAAACAAAACCCGGACATTTTTTAGCCTATAATGCTAGCTACTTGAGAGGGTAAGAAGAGGAGGATCACAGTTCAGGGCCAGAAAGGGTTATCATGCCACCTCTTTAGGAAGCCTGTATCAGAACCATTCAAGAAAGCCAGTCGTGCCGTAAGCATCTAATTTTAGGATAATTTGATACGTAGCGATACACACCTACTACTTACATTATTCTCTAATCAGTTACCTCTGTGACCATGCTATGATTTGTGAAGCTTGCTGTCTGTGTGACCATGCTATGCTTTGTGAAGCTTGCTGTCTGTGTAGGAGCATATAAAGGCAATGATGTTCTCATCATGTCTGAGCCACTAACACACATGGGCTCCAGCTAGGGCATCCACAACTGTAAAGAAGCCATACTGGAGTGGAACATGAGGGAATCACTTGGCTTTACTTATGATCCAGACTGTCACCACTGCAATTGGAGTTTGTGGAGTCAGTGGATAAAACTTCCAGTGGATTGGTATGGGCCCTGAAACCCTGAGACACTGATCCATCTCTTGATTCAATGTACTCTTCTCCAAAACGGGGACCATCATGGCACCTCAAACAAACCTACTGGCATAGGAGGATGAGTGCTGAAACCCATAGAAAGTATGCTTCAATGGCCTTTTCTAGCTCACAAAACTTAAGTGGATCCTTGGACTTCATCAAAGTAGTCAAGTCCTAAAAAAGTTCCAGGTCGACAGTCCAGTAGCTAGAATACACAGAAGCCTCAAAAAACTAACCCCCCTTTCAATCTCACCTTATATATCAATAACCCAATAAATAAATGGGAAAATGAACTGCCAGACAATTCTCATGAACTAACAGACAATTCTTGAAAGTAGTTAATACAAATGGCCAATACATGAAGAAATGGTCAACATCACTGGTCACATAGGAAATGCAAATCAAATGACACTGAGATCCCACCTCACTTCAAGTCAGGATGGCCATCAATAAGATGACAAATAACAAATGTTGGGGAGGATGGAGGGGAGAGGAACCCACATTTCTGGTGGGAGAGTGCACTCACCATGAAAATCCATATGGAGATTAAACTAAACTAAAAATAGAACTAAAAACAGAAAATAATAAAATTAAATTAAAAATTAGGAAAACTAAAAATAGAAAAACAGAACCCAATGATCTAGCAATACCAATCTTAGGCATTTGCTGGAAGGAATGCAAGTCAGGATATAATAGAGGCACTTAGTTACCCATGTTCATGGAAAAAAGCCAGATGTCCTACACCTAATGAATGTATCAAGAAAATATGGTACATATACACAATGGAATTATTCAGCCATAAAGAATGAAATCATGCCATTTAGAAACCATCATATTCAGTGAAGTAAGCCAGGCTCAGACAAAGGTGATATGTTTTCCCTCATAAAATATGACTATGACCACAAGAATATATGAGTTCATGATTGTGGTCAATCTGACTGAAGTATGATATATGCATATGTGAGATGCCATCATGACTCCTTTAAATAAGTAACACGCAGTTTTAAACAAAGAAATGTATTAAAACACCATTTCTTTTTGGGGATG